TCGCGCTGCAACGTGCGGCGTTTGCGTCGTGGCGATGTGGAAAGATTGGCACCACAGGGTTATGCCGCCCACGGTGTGAGCACCGGAAACCCCCTTCCCAAGGTGTGCGGCAGACCCTTGCTCTCCCGCACACACGCTGGCTTGTACGTTTACATTGCGAGCGTTGCGTGTGGGCTCCACCTATCCTGCACCACGCCATCCATCCGTCACCGCCACCCCCACGGACTTGTGCCGTGTGTCCACAGCCAGTGGGGGAGCGCTGGCTGCTGGTGCTGGGCTGGGCCCAGAGTGCCTGTGCGCAAAAGTCACCAGGTCATGCTAAACTAACCCGAACACAATTCTAATATTAATGGCTGTCGTTGTGGAGAACTTAAGTAACGATATAAATAAGTTGATGTGTAACCAAACCCTGGTTGGTAATTCAAGCCGACTTTCAGGCTCGCGCTGAGCTGAACCAGTCGCGATGTCATGGGGTTCAACGAAGAAGTCAGGACTCGTTGCGTCGTTCTCTTGGTTCCACTTCTCCAGCAGTTTTGGCAGAAAAACTTCTATCGTCAAGGCAGGCGCAGCAAGTAGGTGGCTGACCGACTAGCTGTGGAGAGACTTTGCATTTGTCCGCTTTGAGGCCTGAGGTAAACTTCCTCCTTGGCCTCCCTCAGGGCAGCCCTGGCCACACTTCTGAGAAAGTAAACAAGCTTTTTTTATTTTACCAGGTCACCCCCGCTGAGAGCCGTGTGGCTCTTCAGAAGCAATCTGGCCATCACAAATGATAACTCAACCAAGTGGCTTATGTGAACATGTATAGCAGCCAAATACTCTAACGCGTGGTGTTGATTTAGTGAGGGGGGGAAACTGTAGGACCTGGAGAAAATCTACTCGACCACGGGGAGAAGATGCAAACTCCAAATATACAGACCATCTTAACATATTTTTTTAATATTTATATGGACAAAAAAGGTCCCCATATATGTAACCATTTTAATGCAGTTATACATTTCCCCTTAGACCAGTAGCGAGGGCAGGCAAGCAAATTAAACTGCCACCGGGGCAATGTCGACAGTCGCCTAAGCCGCCCCCACCCCATGCATGGGTCCAAAAGGCATTGACATCACCGTTTCTGCTGCAAGTTGTGTGTTTATTTAATCGTTTTATGAACTGGTTGTATAATTCTCCAACTGCAGGAACTGCCCACAGTCGGCTTGTGATACTACATTGTCGCGTTTGAACCTCGTTTATTGCTGACGTTTAAGCAGGAGCGTGCTCTTTGCACATCGATTGCCTCGGTGTGCACCTAGCCTGGTGCGAGTGCCATGGTGATTGCGCCAGAGCAATTGAATATTGAACCACAAGGCAAAACACAAGTTTGAGTGTGCCGTGGGTTAGGGGCGCCACGACGGTGGCTAGGAGATGTTAACTACCTCGCCCGGTATACAGGAGGTTGGGTTTGATCCTGACCCTGACGCCTGCTGCTGTATATTTGGAGTTCTGGTGTTCGCGTGGATTTTTCTCCGGGTCCTATGGTTTCTCCCTCCCACATTTAGAAATGTGTGTTTAGGGTATATGGCTGCGTTCAATTTCCACAAGCCACTTCTTTGAGATATCTTTCTTTGCTGGGTCGTTTCTGAAAAAGAGCAATATAGCTTGGTGGGCCCTAACTGATAAAATAAAAAATAATTCAGTTTATTTTGCTCGTAATTGTTTTACCATATTTCCCCATGCTGGTTGAGTTATCACTTGGCCACTGCTGTTAGCTGCGGCTGGGAATCGAACTCTGGCTGCCAGGTTCATAGCTCAGTGCAGTTTAATCACTACCATTGCTCCACTACCAATCATAGATATACAGTGGTACCTCGCTATACGTCGTTAATTCGTTCCAGAAGGTAGGACTTGTACTGAAAATGACGTTTACCAAACAAATTTTTCCCCTAAAAAATGAAGGGAAAGGAAATAATCTGTTCCATAGTATAAGAAATTATATTTTATATGACATAATACATTAATGGGGTTATATAAAATAATGTAGATACTACTTATTACTAAAATGCATACATTAATTAAAATAAATGCATAAATTAAAATAAATTGAAATAAAAAAAAAAAATTTAACATCACTTTACCTCGCTGAGAAGAGGGTTGTGCACTGAACGAGATCTGTACAGGCAGACTGAGGAGCGGCGCTTTGTTTCAGTCGTGAACAGGGTCTACGCGGGTACGCGGTCACTCATCCCGACCCATACAAGTTCTAGCAAGCGCGTCGTATCCCAAGATCTTTTTTTCTCGTCAAAACACGACATATACCAAATTCGACGTATTCCAAAGCGGTCGGATACCGAGGTATTACTGTACTTAATTTAATGTCCTTTCTATCTCTGAAGATTTAATGTGATGTGCTGCCATTCTTTGTGCGATTCGTGCACATTGCCACAATGATCACTTGATGAGACCTACTCACACCGGTTCCCCATCGATAATGAAACCAGAAAGTTGTCGCGATTTGACCGCGTCCATTATTTTTCTATCGTGTGGACTGTAGCAGCCCATTAGAGGCTGCGTGGGTCTTGTGTGAAACCCATAAGACCGTGTGTGGAAATAACTTTGTTTTTGTTGAACTTCTGTACCGTACGTAGCTAACCGTGCTAGTGTGCTTACTTTTATGTACATGTTTCGTAAGCATAAGCTATTTAGGATGACCTGCGTCTCGTTACACCTTCTTGCCTTCTACCGCATTGTGTGCTTACGGCCCTCAGCCAATGTTGTTAATTCAACGTTCAGATGGTGGCGGCGGTGAGTTGACCCACAGAACAACCACGGTTTTATTTTCGTCCGCAAATTACAACTCTGTTTATCGACCCCCCCCCCCCCCTCTCCGGAAGGATGATGGGCTGAGTCAACTGACCCACAGCCAGTGTTCGAACTCTTAACCCTCCAGTTGCGAGCTGCTCGCTCTTCCACCGAGCCACTTGGAGTCTCCACGTTGGTGGCTCGGGGCCCCCACTTCTCATTTGATGAGCGAGGCGGTGGCTTGCCATCGTCCGTAGCAACAACACACTTGGGACGTGTTTAGCTTGCTCTTGTGGATACCTGTGCATTTTAACACGTAGGCTTTCGCCTATTATGGATACCGATGCATTATTGTAATCTGCAAGTGGTTACAATCTCACGTCCGCTCTTTACAGTTCTTGCACTGTATTTAGAGGGGGAAATGGACTTTCTCTCACTGTCTTTGCCTTGCTTCTAACCCTTATCTGCGTTCCTTTTGTGCCTCCCCAAGAATGCTATCACAAGGAGAAGGAGAGTAACCGCGTGCTAACGCGCGAGCTCAGAGTCTTGCTGAATGAATTCAGCGACTAAGTCGGTCTGGTACTTGCCCTCCTCCCTTCCTCGCTCCTATCCTTCATTGCTTAGTCCATGGGCTCAGAACAAATATCTCGACCCTCACGCCTGCTGCAGTTGGCATGTCTATCTCTCAGTGGTCGTGGGGATTTTTCTCCCGGGTCCTCCGGTTTTTCCCTACACATTTCGAATCGACATGGGTTTACAGTATTTGGCTGCTATACATTTCCACGTGGTAAGCCACTTTGTTGAGCTATTATTTGTGGCCAGGTCACTTCTGAAAAAGAGCTGCATAGTTAGTGGGCCTTACCTGGTAAAATAAAACATTGTTTACTTTACCTTGCTGGTACCACCTGATGTGGCAAAACCCGAGTTGTATCAACATCTTCATATTGGCAATTTAATTAGTACGTTATCACATTCCACTTTTATGCGCCAAATACAGAAACCTGTATCCCCAAAATGTAATGCATAACTATCCTGGCCCATGGTCTAACTGCTGCTGCGATCCATTCTCGTGCGACGCACACAAACGTAATAAAGCAGCAGGGCACTGCTGTGCGCAAACGAGCACACACGTGACGCAAACATGTGTGTCACGCACACAACACAAACTTCTCCTGCACCAGCGTCTCCTCCTTGTTCTGATGTTTCTCTTGAGTCTCGTCATGTCTCCGTTGATTCTCTGGGACTTGACATCAGGTGGAGGGGGATGGTCCCCTGCCCTCTCTTAGCACCTCCCCCTGGGATGAAGTCTGTAATGTTGATTTGGAAGAGGTATTTTTATCAACGTTGATAATGCCGAACCAATGCCTTGGAGTTATTAATGTCCGTACGTAGCCAACCGTGCGAATCGGAGGTGCCGATTGATGTCCTTTTTTTGTTGCATTTTTAGAGACTGGCCTCCTATTTATGTACAACTTTTGTTTTGCTGCAATCGGCGCAATGCACAACACAGATTGGTTAGCGTGAGAACGCTCCAACTTTAGTTACACTTCCCTTGTTTTACTGCGGCAGCCATCGGGGGCGTGTGTGTTTCTCTCCGGCTGCGGAGCTGCGTCCTCTGCCCCCCTGGGTTTTTTGCCGTGGAAATTTAAAACTCCGACTCCAGAATTTATCACCACGACTGGGGGGGGGGTGGGGGGGGACCCTTCCCCAGCCTCCGGCACACGCTGTCGAGGCCCAGCGTCGTCCCGTCGTTGGTTCCACAACCGAACGAGCGGCAGCGTGCCCGGCTGCGCGCCAAATTCATGTTTTCTCCCTCGCCTGGTATGCAGGAGGTCGTGGGTTCGATCCCAACCCCGACGCCTATATATTTGGAATTTGGTCACGTTGATTTTTCTCTGGGTTCTCTGGTTTTCCTCTCCACATTTTAGAAACGTACATTCAGAGTATTTGGCAGCTATAAATGTCCACGTGATGAGTCACTTCGTTGAGCTCTCCTTTGTGGCCAGGTCACTTATGAAAAATAGATGGCTCAGCGCGGGCCTTGCCTCGTAAAATTCCTTCAGTATAAATACATTTCCGAATCTGTATTTGTGTAAACGTCACGGGGGGGGGGGGGTTCTAATTGTGCTTTGACCCGAGCGTCGTGCCGCTCACTCGCCCTGTCGCCTCTCCCCTCCCCTTCCGCCCCCCGCTGCCCACTCGGTGATTTCTGTGCGCAGATAAACTGGGTCACGCCAAGGACGAGAACCTGAAGCTGAACCAAGCCCTGGAACAGACCCTGCAGGAGTTGCACAACTTGTAAGGGGGGGGGGGTGGCGTCAAACCTTCGGCCCACCCGCCTGCCCACCCGCACGGTCCTCTTCCCGTCAAGGAGATCCCTCCACCCTTGCACTGCCTCCAGCCACCCTCCCCTCCTCCTACCCCCTCCCCACTACTCCCATCACAGTGCATCTAACCCCCCCCCACACCATCGACATCGCTGACGCACGACTCTGCACAAACCCAGCACCTCTCTCAGCCTCTATCTCTTTCTTCAACTTTGTAATTGCTCCTTCCTGCAGGACAATTAAGGGACTGCATCGGCAGTGTTGTACAAGCACAAACCTAAAATATTTGGCTACCTGTCTTTGTTAACACTGCCTTATAACATTACTACGATTGTGACTCTTATCATGTCTGCTGTAAGACGGTGTTAATGGACGTTTTAAGTTTGTCACCACCCCCCCGCCTGTCTGTCGATCCCTGTCGCTGCGTGACGTTGTGGGTGGGGGGGGTCTGCGTTGTTGGCTTTGCTGGGAAGTTGCTGGCACTCTGTTTGGCACCGGTGGTGGGTGGCGCACAACCACCACCGGCGGCACCACACCTCCCTTCCCGTGCACTCCCACACGTCTGCTACAGATGGCAGCGTGTGGTTTAGCAGATATTGTTTTTAAATTCGTGGTTGACATTTTGTCGTTGCTAGCATTGTGCGTTAGTGACCCAAGCTGAATCACGGACGTCGCTGCTGCTGCTGTTGTCTCTCCCCCTGTTGGAATTGGCCGATGGAGACGCGAACGAATCTTGGAGACGATGAGGGGAATGAAGGCCGAGGTGGTACATTGTTTGAAGGCCCCCCCCCCCACCCAAAGGGGTTTGTCCCCTCATCTCAACGCTTCTCACCGCTGGCTCAGAATTGTCCTGTTGTTATTCTCACTCTGACTTTGGCCATAATTGGAGATTGATTTTTTTTTAATTCGTCACACCTTGTTCGCGATCGGCACAACTCCCCTCCCTTGTCGTCAGCCTAAATAATGGCAAACCGTTAATTATCCCTTTTTTAAAAGGTGGAAACCCATTCCGTTATCGTTTCAGATAGACGATTCAGGTGGGAGTTGGGTGATGTGAGCGTAGCTGTGCCGTCGAGTCCCGTCTGTTTAGAGTTCGTGAATGTGAATTAAGCCTCGTGTGTTTGTGTTCCTAAAAGTAGTTTTTTTTAACCTCGTTGCTTCTGCTCTGGGGGGGGGGGTGGGGTGTGTGAAAGGAGTGCTCCCTTCCATAACTTCCTTACTATATATGAGATATGATGTCCCCCCCTCCTTGCTTCTTGAAGACCTAAGGTGCACGGCAATTTCACTGCAATCTACGCGAGCCTGACGTGAAGGTGATGGATTGGTCGCATCGCACAATTGCCACGCTTTTTGCCCCATGCAATCGGAGGTTGCCACGCCCGTTCCCCACCCTGTGGACGAGAGGCAAAATGTCAATCGTGGCCGTGACCACAATCCAACATTGGTCTGTTCGGTGAGCGAATTAGTCGGGCGTGTGTGTGTGTGTGGTGGAGAGAGTCGTGGTGTGTAGTAAATATCGCCATTTGGGAGACAAAGGCGGCTGGGCGTGGTGTTGGCCACCCCACCTCTCGTGTGCCGTGCCAGCCTTCATCGGTGCTCAATAACAGCACTTGTCCCAACAGCCTGTTAAGGCTACATGGGGTATCTGTGTTTTTGTAGTGGTTAGCGCACTGCTCTAGGCAAAGTAAGCGAACCTCGGCCACAAGCAAACATCGGTGGCGAATATCTGAGCCAGCACTGGTCCTCCCCTAAGTGGACCCAGCCATAAATGAGTAGCTAATGAAGCATGTAAACATCAGCACTGGGGAGACAAAGTTGGCCGAGACAGCTGGTGGGAAACGTTACTCCTTTGTGGGCAACATCTGCCTTAACTGCCTCTTTTAGTAGTATCTGTTTCCCTAGGTCGAGTCTGCGTCAATCGAGTACCTGTTGTGGATTGTAAACATCACCACGAGGGAGACAATGGTGGCTGGGCGTGGTGTTGGCCACCCACCCCTCGTGTGCCGTGCCGCCCTGCATAGGTGCTCGCTAACAGCACTCGCGCCAACAGTCTGTTCGGGCTCGACGGGGTATCTTTGCATTTGTTATCAGTAGGTGTGTCTGGCAGTCTTGCCTTTGATTACATTGCACGCGGTTGCATCGTGTTTCACCACGAATCGATTGGGGTGCAGTGCAATCGGATTGCATTGAAATTGCGCCGTGCATCCCGGGACACAAGTGGGTGCTACCTGTGAAGATCATGGTTGCAGTATATTATATTTTATATTTTAATCTCCAAATTAAACTACCCACTTAGAAATGTACTTTCTGGTATCTAGTTAAGACAATTCTATGCAACATGTATCAACTCTCAAATTCGTTTGCCAAGATTTGTTTAGGCGTTGAACACGAGAACAATTTCTCTCTCCGTGGGATGTGTGCGATGTTTGCTTTGCTCCGCAAGAAAGCCGTCCCCGAAGTCCATTCCATGCCAGAACCACACAAAGGCCCTGTGTAATTTGCTCCTGTTTAAACTTCAGAACTGTCATTGCTTTGCTGAAACAACATTCCAAGTAATGAACACGTGGCGTCTCTGTTTGCGATTGTTAATAAAGACGTAACTTGCTGTTGCGCAGTTCTCCCCCCCCCCCCCCATTCACACTTTTGTTTTTGTCTCGCCTTGCTCACAAGTGATGGTAAACAAATTCTAACGTTCTATCGATGGTGGTGGTGAAGGTGGTCATCACGTGGAAAAATAACCTCGTCGTCACACATACAGTGAGCAGATGGGAATAAATGAGGAATATTAAATTGTTTCAAGTTGCGATTTTCGACCGCAAAGGGCGCAACATTGCAACCAATCGAATCATTCCTTCCATCGTGCGGGTCCAGCGCGTGTGTGTGATCTTAATTTTTTGTTAGGGGAAATTCCACATTTCCGTGACTGGAGCATGAAGTTAATTCCGCGTGAGCGACCTCCGTTGTCCATCTTATCAAGTGGTTTGTGTGCCTGCGTGCCCCGCCCCCTCTCCGTTTTTGGTTTATAATCGAGCGTGGAGACGGTGAGCAGTCAACCCCTCCTCACACAGCAGTCACGAATCGAACTCCACTCTTGGGGGGGGGGGGGGGGGATCAAGCAACCGACCGCAGCGCCAACACGGCAGGGTCGGACAGGTTCATGCCATGTAAACTCATAATTTGTAAACCCAATTCATCGGTCAAATTATTAGTTTTCTAGTTTATCAATAATCCCTTGAAACAAAAAATATCTCGGTGTGGTTTTGCTTTAAGTGAAGTCTGTTCATGAAGAGAAACAATTGTGGTTCTTGCAAAATTCAGTTGTGTTTTGGTGCATCTTAAGTTTAAATGTTTTTGTGTCTGCTTCATCGCCCCCGTAATAATACTTATAATGTGTGTACATAATCTTACAGAACACCGTGAGGAAACCTAAACCAACGTGCAGGGACGTTTATGGCTAAATAATTCGACTGAAATCATTTTAATTCCCGAGGTCCCGTGTAGGCACGCCCGAATGAAGTTTATGCGAATGGCAAATCCAGTTGAGGTGCATTAGAAATGTCTTTGTTGTTGTCCTGTAGCAAACGTGAAATACCAGTACTTCGTCGGAGCTGATGCGGTTTTTATCAAATTGTTGATGTGCCATGTAAGAAAAAACAATTGTTACTCTAAGTTCTTAAAGTCATGCGTTCATACTTGTATTCATTCTTAGTAAACATTAACTCAACACATTACACAAGTGTCTGCAGTCCGTAAAATAAACCATTTTGAATAAAAAATATATTCACTCGCATGCATTTCTTATTTATTATAAGACCACCACTGGAGACGCCACGGAGTTGAAAGCTCATCGGGTGAGAAATGTTGACTCAGTGAGAGCGACGGTGGTGATGACAAACTCGACTATTTACCTTTTTCACATTACCAGGCGACGTAGTTAACATCTCCTAGCCACCGTGATGCTTGTTTGTTTCGAGGGGGGATGGGACCAGAGGGGGGGGGGAGCAGGGGGGGGATCAGAAGAGGGAGGGGGTCAGAAGGAGAAGATCAGAGTTGGGGGGGGGGGATCATGGAGGAGATGGATCAGAGTTGGGGGGGGGGGGGTCAGGGGGTGGGGCTGAGGCTAGTTACGCGACTGTCCCTCTGGAGGAGTGAAAGCGGCAGATCGATTCTCGCCGTGGCGAGCGAGGCGCGTTCCAAGCCGGCCCTCTGCGACTGAAATAGATGCCGGGGGGGGGGGGGGTGGGGGCTGCCTCACATTCCAGTGCGCACCCCCCCTCCACTCGGAAAGCGAGAGGGACGAGGGGAGCGAGATCGTGGTGGTGGTGAGTGATGGTGGGGTAGGTGGTGAGTGTGGTGAGTGGTGGTGGAGGTGAGTGGTGTTGGTGAGTTGATGATGGTGAGTGGTGGCGCAGTGGTTGGCACTGCACTGGGCGCTACAGAGTTCGATTCCCGCTCGTGGCCAACTCCAGTGGCGATTCTCTGAACCGGTCCTGGGCCTCTCCTAGGTCGACTCGGCCTCAAATGAGTACCCGGTTGCGGTGTGTAAACATCGCCATTGGGGAGACAAAGGCGGTCGGGCGAGGTGCTGGCCACCCACCACCCCCTCGTGTGCCGTTCCAGCCTTCCTCGGCGGCTGCTCGTCGCTAACACAGCACTTGCCCCCCAGGCTACACGGGTGGGGGGTGTTCTGGGGGATCTTTGTTTTGTGGTGACCGATGGGGTGACATGCGGCGAGGAAAGATCGCCTCTAAATAAAAACTCGCGATCCACGCACGACAGCCCCCCCCCACCCCTTCCTCCCTTTGGCACAGACGCAGGATGGAGGGACGCGCGCGTATTTCTCTCTCCCGGGGGGCCGGATGGGGGGTGGAGAGCGGCGCACGGAGCGCCTGGCGGCCCCGGAACGCTCCCGAGTTGCTGCTGTTCCGGGAATTGTCGAATTGTTCTGGCGCGCACTCACACCGGGCCCCACGAAGAGCGGTCACGCAGCATCGCACGGCGCGTCCACGTGCCGTGCTGCGGCCGTCTGGAACGTTCTCGCTTCTCTTCCTTCCGATATTGCGAATCCACTGGGAGCTATGATGCACTTTTAAATCATCGTCGTCGTCATCATCTAGATTGACAAACGTATTGCTTGCTGCTGTGTTTAGTCTGTTGTCCCCCCCCCCCCCCGATTAGCGCGGTTGGCTACGTGCGGTGCGAAAGAAGTTCAACACACGTGCGTGTTGCGGCCACCGAAGGCTCGTTGCTGGCAGTAGGATGTCACGGGACAGACCCAGGTGCTTGGGGTTGACTGGCCGAGATGACTGGCAGATGCGTCGCCTCTGCACGGTGCCAATTCATCCACTCGCACAAAGCCGAAGATCCCCGTATAGCCTTAGTAGACTGTTGGGGCAGGCGCTGTCAGTGAGCAGCTACCGCTCCCCACACATGTTCAACATACATACAAAGAAGTGCAACATGCATGCCACATACATCTCGTGTCGGTCCTCACAGTGACATTTGCCCTCTTTAACACCTAGTCGGAGGCTTTCGCGACCAAAATAATCAAAAATAGGGTTGTTTGGGTGAGATCGCGTCGATATATAAATGTTTCGTCAAACCCGCCACCACCCGACACAGCCACAACCTGTAAGGGTTGTCACGTAAACAGAACGTGGCCAATTCGTCACTAGCACAGCGGTGTGTTGGAGAGTAAACCCCACAACATTTACAATTCTAGTTGTCAATGTTGGGTTCCCTCTCCAACACACCGGCGTGCTGTACTAGTAAAGGTCGACTCAGCCGCAAATGAGTACCGGGTGCGGTGTGTAGTAAACATCGCCGCTGGGGAGACAAAGGCGGTCGAGCGTGGCGCTGGCCAACAACCGCCGCCCTCGTGCGCCGTGCCGGACGTCGTAGTCGCTACGACGGTGCTCGCGAACAGGGCGAAACGGGGGGGGGCGGTCTTTGTCTTAGGAGTTAGACGAGGTGTCTGATGACGACGATGATGAGACGATCTTTGCGCGTTAGTCACCCGTCATCACGACCATCTTCCGCCAGCGTCAGCAGCGTCAGTGGAATCAAACACGAGCAGAGAAATTCGACTCCTCGACCCATTCAATGTAAGTCGCCCTCCTAACTCCTGACCCCCCTGCCCCCCCCTGAATGTGAGTCTGGATCTGGGCTCCCGATCTCGCCCTAATGCGTGGGAAAGCGAGAGGCTTCGTGCGTGTCACGGTGGCGTGCGTTGACCGGCTGAGATGACTGCCCGATGCACCACCCGTGCCCCCCTACTGTGCCAACGCGCTCTGCCCTCCGCTGCTGCTGCTGTTGTTGGAGGGGGGCTGCCCCCAACTGCCCAGCAGCAGCAGCGACCTTCACGAGCC